TTTTCACCAACACCCCCATTCCTGCTGAAAAGTGCTGCCTTGCCAGGCCAGACTTGAGTAATAAAATTGGTGTGTTGTCTCTGTTTATCTGGATGTCTTAATCAAAAGACGCAATTACTCCTTTTTTCTTGATCAACCAGCCTCACCAGATCAATTCTTGCCAAAGCCAACACAAAGGGAGAGATCAGGTATGGGAACTGTCAGGATTTACAGAGGCTTGCCTTCTTTATTGTGGAAGTTATCTGATTCAACTTTCATATCTCAAGACCTCAAATGAACATCTAACATCAAAAACGTCATCAAAAAAGCACAACAAAGAATGTTCTTTCTGCACCAACTCTGGAAGCTGCAACTGTCCAAAGAGCTGCTGATTCAGTTATACAGAGGAAGGATTGAGCCTGTCCTCTGCACCTCCATAACCGTCTGGTTTGGCTCTGCAACCCAACAAGACAGACACGGACTTCAGAGGGGAATCAGAACTGCAGAAGAAACAATGGCGACCAACCTGCCTTCCATGGAGGACCTGGACACTGCAGGAGTCAAAAAGAGGGTTGTGAAAATATCTACAGACTCCTCACATCCTGGACATAAATTGTTTCAACTCCTACCCTCAAAACGAGGCTATATGGCACTGCACACCAAGACAACATTATGCATTGATAAATGTGTTTTTATTCTCCTTATGTCCACTGAGAGCATCTGCACCAAAGACAAATTCCTTGTGTGTCCAATCACACTTGGCCGATACAGAATTCTATTCTTTTCTACAATTCTATTCTATTCTATTTGGCTGCCAGCACTCCTGAACAGAGATTGATTGGTGCCACCTAGCTGATCAAAATTTCTAGACTTTCATACAAGAGAACCATGAGTTCAGAAGAAACCTTGCTGTACGCCCAGATCCATGCATCCTCTTGATTTCCCAACAGCTGGATTTAAGTTGCATGATCAGTTCAGGAAATCAAAGGTAGAGATAAGGGCTGATGCTAGGCTCTTCATTTGGAAAAGGCCCTGAATGCCAAGGGAAACTGAAGATGGAAGAGGGATGGTTAGTGAGTATTCTAGATTTGCTCTGCAATTTGTGTTGGCGCAGATCATACCAGAATAACAGAGTTGGAGAGGACCTTGGCGTTCTGACTGAGGCTTCCCAAGAGCATGAAGCAAACGCCTTCCCCGACAAAAAAAACCCCTTTTATTAATTGACTGTGAATTCTGCTTCACATCCAGCAAAGTCTTTCAAGGGAGGATTTACAGCCACAGACCTTATTTGGCTTGGAAAGCTGCCAGGCTGATATCTGCAAAACTTGGCAAGGCATCTTGGAGAGTCACAAACCAATTAAGCAAACTATTTGTCTCCTGCAAACTCCATTCCCCTTTTGCTCCTCTTTTNTCTCCATGGTCATGTGGCCAGCATGGCTCAATGCCGAAGGCGCATGTAATACTGTTACCTTCCCACTAAATGTGGTCCCTTGCATTTTTTACGTGCTTTCAAACTGCTAGGTTGGCAGAAGCTGGGACAAGTCTTGGGAGCTCACTCCGTAACATGGCGCTAGGGATTCGAACTGCCGACCTTTCTGATCAACAAGCTCAGCATCTTAGCCACTGAGGCACCAGGTCCCTTCCCACGACTTCATACTGATATACATAACGTATCTGATACTGATAACAATCCTCTTCTTAACTTATTTAATTCTACTAATACATTTCGCTAATCTACTTTCGTTTCTAACTGTCATCTTTGTTCTCTAACCGTCGGTAGAAGAATTCCCACAAGATATAATATTCAGTGTGGTCCCTTCTCTTTAATTGCAAGTGTTAACCTATTCATTTCTGCACATTTCTAATATTTTCCTGACCGAACCGCCAAACTGCTGACTTTCCTGATCGACCAGCTCAGCGTCTTAGCCACTGCGAACCCTTAAAAACTGGGTAGGCTTGCTGAAAAAAGTTTTTCATTTTTGAGAACATGAGTGCCAGCAACAGGAAATCTGGGCCAAAGCCGTATTTTGCAGGCTGGCAAGTTAGCACAAACACAACACAGCTCTGGGTGGCCTTAAAACAAAGGTGCCCTTTGTGAAACGGGCATTGCTGTTTCGAAAATTGTGCGCCAGCTGTAACTGGAATGGTGGGGGGGGGATATAACACATAACAGTCATGCACACAAGTGTTTCCCTTACTTCTTTAGGGAAGTGCTGGCCGTCCCCATATCTGAGTTCACGGAGATGCCTTCTCTCAGGTTTTCCTGGCTGATGCTAGGGACCACGGCCATCTGCGAGTGATGGATCAGTTTTGCCTTGCCAACTTTGAGGCCTTCGTATAACACGGTGAGTAGCATGATGATGAAGACGGAGAGCACCATTCCTGTTAAAAACACAGCAGAAACATAGATAGGGGCTCATAAAGGAGAACAAAATACAGAATAACAAGAGTTGCAAAGGACCTTGGAGGTCTTGCAGTCCAACCCCCTACCTAGGCAAGAAACCGTACACCACTTCAGACAAATGGTTATCCAACATTTTAAAAACTTCCAGTGTTGGAGCATTCACAACTTCTGGAGGCAAGTCGTTCCACTGATTAATTGTTCTCCCTGTCAGGAAATTTCTCCTTAGTTCTAGGTTGCTTCTCTCCTTCATTAGTTTCCATCTGTTGCTTCTTGTTCTGCTTTCTGGTGCTTTGGAGCAGAGGTCTCCCATCTTGGCAACTTTAAGACTTGTGAACGTCAACTCCCAGAATTCCTTATAGTTATAGTTCAGCAAATTCTAGTGGTGTTACGGACCACCAGCAGCCCACGGAGCTGGCAGCAGAGTCGGACAGTGAGGAGATTGGGGAGGACGATGGGCCAGTCCTGGAGTCTGGGGAAGGCTCGGACGAGGGCTCTGCGTCAGAGGCAGAGAGGGGGCCAGGGACATCTGAGAGTTATATGCTGCCTCCGGAGCCTCCAGAGTCTGACATCAGGGAGGCAGAGGAGCAGGGGGAGCCTGTTCCCAGTTTGTACCTGCGCAGAGCTGCCAGAAGGCAAGAACAGTTAAGACAAAAGGGACGACTCGGCAGTAAGGCTTGGAGATGATTGGCCCCTCCCATAAGACATAAAAGAGGAGCAAATGGACGTGAGCCTTTCCAGGAAGCAATTTTGTTCTTTCTGGTCGGTTAAAACTCTGAAGCTCCGTTTGACTCTCTGCTCTGTGTGGCCTTGCAAAACTAATTGGCAATTAGGTCTCTGGCAGCATTTTAAGGGCGATAAAGGTGGATGCTTATCAGCCTTACCCTGAAAGACTGTGGCAGACTTTTGTCGGACTCTTTGCAAACTATTTGTGACTCATTGTGGGCTGTGAATGAACATAATTCACAGCCGTTGAAATAAAAAGAGGGTTTGGGGGACTGAACGTGTGATTGTTCCTGTCTCAGGAAGCCTAAGTCAGAACTAGTAGGTTAATGCTTTGCACTTTGGTGGGCCCATCTGTGTGTGACAAAGTCGTGGGCGTGACAAACACCCACCCCCAACTTTTGTTCCCTGGGGAACGAAGGGTGCAATTAAATCAGGGACTTGGGTTTCTTCCCAGAGGTTGAACAACTTGTCTTTAGCTCCCTGGATTTGCTCCTTGCTTCTCTGCTGAGT